TTGGAATGATGAAGGAAATTATGGGTTGAAACCCAAAACAATGAGGTTAAAGAGGCTAATATTTGCCATAGAGCTTTTTCTCTGTTACAAACATAAAACTCTTTTACCCTAGCTTTAAATGTGACCTCAAATTTATCTGTAAAATTGTTTCTCACCCTTATGGTCAACATCACATGGGTGTGGCTCTTCAGGACCTCAACTGCATTGCTGTGGGTGATGTCTTCAAAGCTCACCCCGTTGGCTGCAAGGATTTGATCACCCATTTTGATGCCATGCTGCTCTGCGAGCCCACCTGGGTCCAGCCTGCAGAGAAAATACATGACATGGGTTGAACTTGGGCTCCAATACACAAAGAATCAACCAGTCCTATCTGTATGATGTTGATTATGATTTCAAGGCTCATACTTAGAGACATAAATCCCCAGCCCGAACTCTTTGCCTCCTCTGATGTTGAAGCCCAGACAGTAGTCGTCTGAAGTGGTGAAGAGATGGACGATCCTGCGGAGGGCGCTGTCCGAACTGGCGTCTGATGGTGTACGGCCACTCTCCTCCACCACCATCCGCCGGTGAATCAGATCCACCCTGTGTAAGAGAGGACACATACATACACACACACTTGAAAACATTCACCTGAACTAATTTCTCTTTCTCTACTGAATTCAGGCCTGTCAGTGCCGGTTAATCAAATAGCCATAAAGGTCAGAGCGGTAATCCATCCACTGCTGCTACATGAAACCAAGATACAGTATATCCCAAAGAAAGATAACCAGAGTGACCTACAGTCAAGTGATAAGACTACATAAAACAACAGCCACGCAAAGGTCAGTGCTGCTACAGCAAGGTTGTACATTGCACATTACATAATAATATTGTCTTAATCTATTTGGTTAAGCTGTTCAATTGACTGTGTGCTGTAAATATTTAATGATAGATTAAAATACTTTGTGTTAGACTTATCCTCATTGACAAAGCCTGAGCCTCTGAGGTGAGTGTCCTCACCATGTGGTCTTCTCCTTGGAGTAGCGGATGCCGGGGATCTTTCCGACCCGTCTCACCACCATCCTCAGCCTGTTGTTGCCTGTCAGGACCTTCACAGCGCTGCTCATGGTGATGCTCTCCAAGCTGACACCGTTCACCTCCACCAGCTTATCGCCCACAGTCAGCCCAGCCTCCGCTGCACACACAAGGTGGAACTCAGGATGACACACAGGAGCAAAGGTCACATGTAAACAACATGCCCAAACACACGTCCTCCAAACCTGCAGAGCTGTCATCCTCCACCTTGCTGACAAATATACCAAGTCCATGTTCAGAGCCTCCGCGGACACTGAAACCCAGACGCCCATCAGGACTCTTGTCTACTGTCACTGTGTGAATGTCTTCACTTTCATCACCTCCTGCAAACACACACACACACACGTATGTGTCTACAATAAGGTTTGAAAATCATCTTCAGAAATTCTTGATAAACAATTATGTAATTTTTTATGCATTAATACAAAAGTTGCATTTAATACACTTGGTCAAAGTGGAGCTAATTTTAACACCTGAAACGTGCTGCAGGGTAGTTCATATTATTTTCCATCATTAAACAATTAACTGACAAAACCTCTCAGCTCTAGTATCTACAGTATATTGTACCATTAATAAAATAATGGTGCTCTAAACTCTGCCAGTAGTGCTGTGTGTGTTACCAAGGCAACAGAGGATCGTTATCACGCCCAGACCTCACCATCAACAGGTGCGTTGATTAGAATGACCCGGCCCATTGGCGAGGACGTCCTGCGTCTATGGCGCTGCTGTTTCTTCAGCATGTAACGTGTGGTGCTGTGGGAACCCCCGGCCTGGCCTCCATTATTAAAGTGGGGGTGCCCGCCTCCGTTTGTCATCTCCCTCCATCCAGGGGGGTGAGCGGAGTGAGCCATGCTATGTGTCTGGTGATTCTTCCTTTCGTCATCCAGACAGGAGGATGTCTGGGGTCAGCTGCCAGGAGGGAAGAGGTGCAGCCTGGGATTTGGGGGAAGGACGTGGGCCACAGGTGTCGTGGGGAACTGGACTTGTTTGCACCTGCTGGTCCAAAGTGGATGATGTAATGATAATAAATGACTTGCTTTTCACCAAAGCAACCAGTTTACAGAGCTGTAGGCAACTCACCTTCATCAAAACCAGTTTCAAACCATAAATAAGGCTTTAGACGAAAATCCGAGGAGAAAATGTGACGTAGAAAAGCCAGGCGTTAAACGTTTCCACACATCTGAATGAACGAAATATAAATCCATTTGAAAATTATGGCAAAAAAGTAATGTCTCTGTCTGAACAATGGAATCTGGATTTCCAATTTTCTCACTCCTGGATGAAATCCTAATTTTCTTAATAGCTTAGTCATGTTGTTGTAATCCACAAGAGTCCTTTGTAGCCTCTGAATCCATCTCCACAGAGTCCAGGGTGCGTGGCTGTTCTCCACTGCTTCAGCTGAGTGGCTGCAGGCCTCTCTGCAGAGGAGTCAGCGTTGCATGGTGATTCCCCTCGGGTCATGTTTAATTAAATGAATACCTGTTGTGAGAAGAATAAGCAATATGTGGTTAGAAGTTTGAGATGGGAGAAATACAACTCATAAAAACATATTAACATTGTTTGATTTGCTGTTTCTATTCAATAATGACACAGTTGTAATGATAAATAGAATGTCACCTTCAAAAGGATTTGTTCATTAGGGACAGATCCTGTCTAAAACAACAACCCTTTGGAGGATGTTGTTTGTGCTTCTGTTGAACTGTGTTATGCCAACGGGTGTATATCTGTGTAAATCCTGCAATCCATATGGACTTTAGTCCAGATGTCCTGCAGTCCTTTTTCTGTAGGTAGCAAGTCAAACAGTAAATTGGAGCAGTCTGAATCTGAAACTATGAATCAAAGAGCTAAAGATGAGTGAAACGATGGAGGAGGATGTTACACAACCTCACAACACAAAGCATACTGTTAATGGCTTGTACCTGACATATAAATAATTGGTACATAATGATTTATTACAGTTTATAAAGGCTGTATAAACAGTCCCCTATCAGACAGTGAAGCTGAGAATAAAGTTTCCCTCCTGAAAACACCTGTTCTCTCACCTTCTTATCAGTCAGCACCATGGACAGCCACTTAGTTAGTGTGGACTTCACAAACAACTGAAATAGTTTCTGTTTATCTGATCTATATTATCATGAATGAATCCGCAGTCACTAACTATAACTAACTAACTAAACCTCTGGATCACCTGTAGACAACATCTGCCTCTGTACAACTGTAACATGAACACAGTCTAAACTTGTTCCTGTTGATCCATTAAACTGTGAAACATTAGAGGAATAGAAACATTAAGCGGTGCCTGTTACCTGTTGTGTCCGTGTTTTGCAGGACGAGCTCGGACAGAGACGCTTCAGTGACACCTCCGGAGTATTAGTGTCACCTCATTTGTTCTCCGGGCGACCATTATTGTCTTAAGAGCTGTAAGCCTTTTACACAAAGCCCCTGCAGCTGTGCGGCCATTAGCTCCGCACCGATGCTGACTTAGTGCACTAATTGCACAACATTAACACGGGTTCGGGTCTGCGGCAGCTTGTCCTCAGGTAAACCTGACTGATAACCTGCTGATGAAGTCCATGTTTGTTCTGTGAAACTCCAGAGAGGTGGAGGTGGAGAAAGCTGAGCTGACCGTCTCCACCATGAAGGCCACACAGATGAATAAACAACCCCACCCGGTGGCCAGGGGTGTCATGTCAGGTCTTTGTCTGATTTTAAACTCAGTCTGAATCTGAATTGATATATTTTTGACTAGTTGATTAACACAATTCATGTATAGTCCATCGATAAAACATCACAGTTCGAAGAAAGTTTCACATTTCAGCAATTGTTAAACTATTGTAAATACAAGAAAAATAACCATAAAAAGGACAGAATAAACAAAAGAAGTAAGTATTTATGATAACAAATACATACAGCAGCATAAATGAATAACATGCCACAGTGACCTCCTTGATTTCCACGCTTTTCATGCTCTCTTGACATTTTCTCACCGGTTACCTCCAGCAGTGCACAGTATCTCAATGCATTCACTTAAACTTATGAACTGAAGTTTTTATACGTTAAATTGCTTGAGTATTTTTCTTTGTCCTGCTACTTTATACTCTCTTTTTACTCCACTAGAATTGGAAATATTGCACTTATTCCATCAGGCTGTACTTTAGTCAAAAATGTGTAGATTAAGACTGTGTATAATAATAATAATATTCCTTCTGTATTGAAAGGTGCATATTCTGTACATGCTCTCTGTGTTTTCTTTTTTTTATTTCATTTATTTTGCTATCTATCTATCTACGTCAGTGGCTGTTAACCAATCATGTACCGTATTTGCACCACGCCCACCTTCTCATGCCCTTCATGACAAACACCGCCCCCAGTGGGTGCTGCTTTCAAAGAGTCATTACAAACTCGGTTTTCTAGACTACACATGTGACACATGAGTGTGTTGTTACTTTAGACTTGCCTCTCAGTGGGAATGTATTTTAATGTATTTTACATCTAAAGTTACAGTTTAGTCACAAATGAAGTTATTACATACACACAATGATCTCAGAATATGATACATTGTCACTTAAACTTTGTTTCTCAAAATTGTAATATTGCTCATTGATCACGTGGATTAAATTACAACTGTAGTAATGATGCTGCAATTATTATGCGTATTATGTATTTATTTCTTTACCTTTTTGCACAGACAAGTATAGTTATTTGTCAATACTATTTGACTTTTGGTTTTGATTGCAGGACATTTACTTGTAACTGAGTATTTTGACACGTTTTTCTTGTGTTGGTACCTTTACTTAAATCACCTAATTTGAAAATCTTTTACTTTTTATTCATTGACTTGCTTCCACTTTTTACACACGAGTGTTTACCGGCATATGAAATAGTGATCTCCCCATCAGTAGCGCTGAAGCTGTGTTCTACGACACTTTCTCGAGCATCAGAAGGCGGCGCAGGTCCACCCGGCAGTGCAGTGATATTGAGAGGTCAAACATTTCCCTCAGACAGCGGGAGCAGAGCAGGTGAGTCTCTGTCCTGACCGGAGACACGTATTTACTTCATTGGACTCACAATACGACTGATTTCACGATTGTTCTGAGTCCATGTGTTCTCCTGTTCCACTGCTAGCATGTTAGCTAGCGTGGGAGCTACCTGGCTGCTCGGCGTTATCTACCCAGTAGTGGTTTGTTTTGCCGGCGTGATGAAGCTCCGCTGTCCCGTGTAGCTTCTTATTGAGCTTCTTATTTACGTGTTAGGGGATTAAATGTCGTTTTATTGTCACGTGTGTGTGTGTGTGTGTG